TACCCTGACCCACACCACATGAGGAAGAGTGGGATCATAACTATGAGCACCTCCACCGACCCAACCAACATGGCGGATACCACGAGGAACCCAGGCACTGCAGCAGTATTGGCGGACATAGAGGTCAGACTGGACAGAGCTTTCACAACATTTTGGAGTAAACTGGAAGAGAGACTGCAGCTCCATGCCCAACATCATCCAAACAGGCACTCACCTCCACCGGCGCCACTAAACAAGCGACTAAACAAACGACGGACGCCTGTAATCCTGGCATGGATGAAGAGCCCAAAATGGCCGCAAGGCGGGAAATACCCAGCGCACCGGCTGAGAGCAGCTCGCACAGCCACTTAAATCCAAGCCTCCAACCCGTGGAACACGCAGTATTTGATGGAACACAAGCACAAGGGGTACTCATCCCTCCAGGTATCACCGCTCTAAAACCCACAGCCTTGCCAGCCTCCCACCACCCCTCTGGGCCAGGGGCCTGCCTGCTGCGACGAACAACACTAGGGGAAAGCACTCAGCCCTATCAAGGCATCGGCTGACCCCATAGAGACTGGGATAGATGCATTGGTGGGCTGGGCCGGAGGGCAGTGCAGGGTGCCAGGCATCAGGCGGAGGGGGTGGCCGCTGCAGGGTGCCAGAACGGCCGCTGCAGGGTGCCAGGCACCAGGAGGAGGGGGTGGCGTGCGGAGCAGGCCGATGGCCTGTCACAGGGAGCCCAGCAGGTGGCCAGCTGGCCACCTAGCGTGCCCCGGTAGCAAGGCAGAGTAGGCACCTGCTTGTCCAAGATGCAGCAATATACTGGCCGCGTGAGGAAGGAGGCAGGCTGCAGCGAGGGAGCACTGCCTCTGCTGATGGTCTTCCTGCTCCCTCGTGCGCCTTCTCTGGTGATACCGGGAGCCGGAATATGACGTCATTCTGGCCCTGCATCACTAAACTGCGCGAGGGAGCAGAGAGGAGCAGGTAGATCATCGAAGACACTGGACCCCAGGGAGAGGCCCCAGAGAACTCCTAAAGGTAGGAGCAAGCAGAAATAAAATTAATTTGTGAGTGTGTGTCTGGAAGTGAGTATGTGTGTCTGGAAGTAAGTGTGTGTGTGTGTCTGGAAGTGAGTGTATGTGTGTGTGTATCTGTCTGTCAGTGTGTGTGTGTATCTGACTGTCAGTGAGTATGTGTGTGTGTGTGTGTGTGTGTGTCTGGAAGTGTGTGTGTGTCTGGAAGTGTGAGTGTGGGTGTCTGGAAGTGTGAGTGTGGGTGTCTGTCAGGGCCGTCTGGCCAGTTGGCCGTGGGCCCCACAGGCATGGGGGCCCTACCGCGCTGCCCAGCATGCCCGGCTGACAGGGGAGATCCTTTGATCTCCCCTGCCGGCCAATGGAGAGGTGGCCCTGTTTTCTGGCCTTGGGCCGGTGAGGGAGATCTCCCTTCAATTTGGGTGAGAGGTAGCTAGGACCCAGGGCAGCAGGACAGGCCGACCTGTAAGGCAGGTGGCTCCTCCCATGGCAATGCTCCACACAGCATTCTGCGTGCAGGAGGACAGGAGACACCCTGCAGCCAGACAAGTACAGAATTCACAGCTGGACTACCAGGGCTGGCTGTGTCCCAGCCTCTTTCACCAAAGGTAAGAAGAAGGGAGGGGGGGACATATAGATTTTATTTAATGTATAGTAGTATTAAAAAAACAAAAAACATTTGCTACCGCACCCCTCAAACACACACAAGCACCCCACACACACCGCACCCGTACACACAGACACATACACTGCACCCCTCACTGCAGTGTGTGTGTATTCAGCAGTCTGTGTGTGTGTTCAGCTGTCTGTGTGTATGTTTGTGTGTGTTTGTATTCAGCGGACTGTGTGTATGCATTCAGCACTCTCTATGTGTACTTAGCAGTCTGTCTTTGTGTGTACTCAGCAGTCTGTTTGTGTGTGTCTATTCAGCAGTCTGTATGCGTGTATTCAGCAGTCGTCATGTGTATGTATTCAGCAGTCGGTGTGTGACTGTATTTAGCAGTCTGTGTGTATGTATGCATTGCATTTGTTGGAGGTCCTTCTATAATCTTCATTGTATCTATTATTTAAGTTTTTATTCCTGTATGTTGTGTAGGCAGGGCCCCAGTGCACTGCTTTGCCCGGGGGCCCGTAATGTTGTTAAGATGGCACTTGTGTCTGTCAGTAAGTGTGTGTGTCAGCAAGTGTGTCTGCAAAGTAAGTGTCTTTCAGTGAATGTGTGTGTCTGCCTGTCAGTGTGTGTATGTGTCTGCCTGTCAGTGAGTGTTTGTCTGTCAGGGTTTGCATGTGTGTGTGTTATTGAGAGTGAGTGCCAGTGTGTCTGTCAGCAGGGCCAGCCTTTGAGGTGTGCAAGCTGTGGGGTCACGTAGGGCGCCATGATAACAGAGGTGCCCGGCGGCCAACACAGCTCACAAGTTTGGGACACCAGCATATTTAATTTAAACGATTCCCTGGTGGTCCATTGGTGCGCACCAGCAGTAGGTGCAGTCAGATCATATCCTCTCCCTTGTGGTTCCGGTGCTCAGTTAGTGAGTCAGAGCACAGGCTCAGAGATTCTCAGCCTGCGCTGTAACAACATTGAAAGTTGGAGCTCCAAAGGAGTGGGTATGGCAAAGAGCTACTGATTAGCATAATATCAATATCCTTTACAAGACCAGGAAAAGGTGGGCATGGATGGTGAGCTGATTCGGCGGTGCAATGGGTCACTCAACTGGATTTGCCCCCCAGGCCTGAGGCTGCCAGCCCTCCCCTGGATAGACGATCAGGCAAAGTGTCCACTACCACCCGGACTCTATCCGCTTCAACAGGACTTAATCTAATGCTTGCTTTCTGGATAACCAGTTATGATCAAGTGGCCCAAGCTGGAGTTATCTTGATGGCTTGTATGATGAGCAAAAAAAGTATGGTTATGTCTCCTGTTCCATGTGCCCATCTAACTATTGTCTCGCATGCAAGATTATACATCTAGATAGCAGGTTTAGTTTGTACATCATCTTTACTTTTTATTATTATATGCACTGTTATGCTAGCCACTACTCACGACCCAGATAATATAAAATGTGCAGTTAATTCAAATGTCAAGCCTATGGTAAACTGGGTGTCCCCCAGCCCAGTACTGTTATAGTTAGAATCTACTATGCCATATCTTATGTATACTTAGCAATCCTCGTACACATGATATGATTTATCTATGTATTCATCTCCTCATGTAACCCACGTGTACCGTTATGTTCTCCTGACAAAAAAAAAGGAGGCTGTTTGTTCACAGAGCCTATGTTACTAGACTGCATTTACCGTTAATGTGCTAATTGCTCCTACTGCTATTTTATGTTGTTCATAACCCAAAAGCCTCAATAAAATAAAGAATTAAAAAAAACAAAAACACCCCTCTCCCTAAATATCCATATATCATTTTACTTTTTTAGGACATTTATTTTGTGTGTGTGTGTGGGGTGGTGGGGGGTTAAGCATTGTTTTTTTTATTTATTTTCCATTTCCATTCTTGGCTTCCTCCCATTCCCTGCCCTTGCAGCCTTTTTGAGTGATCTTAGTTCAACTCACCCTCTACCTGACCAAGAGTAAAGCTGGGCAGCTTCAGAACCTTTTGCATTTTTCATTTCTGCTGAGCCTTAAGCACTTGTGGCTATTCAGCATTACAGTGCTTTCTGCAAAATGAGAACTAAAAACACTGGACAGTTGAATAAGTGTGAGAGATCTTGGATTAGATAATGTTTGATTCTTGTGCAAGATCACTCAAAATGGTTGCACAGGCTGGGGACAGAGGGGCTGTTGAGAAAGAAAAACATTTAAAGGAAATTCCTCTGCCCAAATAAAAAGAAAATATAAAAAATATAATTGTTTAGCGGATAAATTTTATTCATTGGGGGCATATCTTAGACAGCTTTAAAAAGCTGCAGATCTCTTGTCTGAAGCCTTTGCAAGCCTTCCCAATCTAACCCAGCTTAAAGCAACTCAATTAGAAGTACAATTGCCTTTTGAGTTTAGCTCCACTGAGCTAAACAACCAGGAAGTAACATCACCTGTTGTCTGATTGGCAGGGGGGTTGCAGCATGGTTAATCTATAAAAGTTCCAATTTGTATGGAAATCTTCACTTTTTGTAAAATGAAAAAAGAGCACACTCTTCACACAAAGCATTTCAGCAAGCTAAAGTGCTTTAGGTGTCTGGCGTGTCCCTCTAAAAAATAAATAAAAAACCAACAATAAAAAAAAAGAGCACACAAAATGAAAGTACCTGAACTAAACAGTTAAAAAGGAAATATATATTGTTGACAGCTTTCTTTAAATTACTACTCCACATTCAGGGAATGCAGTGCAGTGCAATGCAGTCAGTTTCCAGGAGAGGGCAGTTTTTAGTTATGCATGTTTTACCTAACCAAAAGTCAGTTCTGCTGACCTAAAATAAAGGATGTTGCAGTAAATACCGTAATTTCTGCTCAAAACTTCTAACCTATAGGTTTCCAGATGATTCCACAGAATCCACCAACAGCACAATTGTTCAGGATTCTTTCCCATGTTCACAGAGTTACTTTCTAAACTGTGAATTGTCAGTAAGTTAAAGTGAAGTAAAAATGTGAAATTTTATTTTAATTTCCCCCAATTTAAACTAGTAAATAACCCTGACAGTACTGAACTTGTAAAAATATGATTTTTCATGTGAGATTATGGAAATATTTTCGTATATTTTACTATTTTTGTTTTTTATTTTTCTTATGATATCTAATTAGCTTTTCAACCCAACCTTTAAACTGTTATGGTCAATCACAAGAATTTCATGCAAACCTGATGAGTTTGTTACTGATAAATATTAATTAGGAACATGATGAATCATTTTAGGGAGTGAGTGGGGGGCTGCTGTTTCAAAAACACACATGTCTGAATTGGTCATGAATAGGCTCATACTAGATCTTGACATCGTTAGCCCTCTTTCCCATATTTCACTTACTGGTGACACATAACATCACAGTGTAAAATTAGATTTTTAATGCAGTGACCTTACCCTGTGAATATTGCATGGGGAAATAGCATGCACTTGTTTGGCACATCAGTTGCTTTGTATTTTGTACGAGAGATGGCAACACAAAGGGTAAGGGGGTATTGTACAAATAATTCATGTTTCCATATTGTTTGTAGCTGGATTCCTGTTGTATTTCCATAACTAAACTTCAAAGCACATAGACCACTACATTTACTAGATTAACATAACCCAAGATCACTTGCAAATATTTATCCCAACCATTGCACAATATTTCTAATTAATGCAGTGGAGAATAGTTGCTCATGTTGTTTTAGGATGAATATGGATGCTGTATCTTTTAGAGCAAGTTGTGTGAGCCTTGCAGAATTTACATCAGAACCAACAGCAACTGCGCAGGTGACAATGTTATTGGCACGTATCATATCCAGACCTTCTGCTAGGTTCTTGCTGTTGCTCATTCCATCAGTTATGAACACAAAGGAAACCTCTGCGTTTTCCCTTGCACCACCAGATTGACCGTGTAGAATATTCTTTATGACATACAGTATAGCCGTACCAATGTGAGACGATGATTCATAGTACACTGCGTTGGAAGGCAATGTCTGGAAGTTTGTTAGGTTGAATGTAAAACCCAGAAGCATGTTTTGTTCATTTTCACCTCCATATTGGATGACAGCAATTCTAGCTCCCTGTAGGTCCTGGTCATGTGTTGCTAGTTTAAGTTCATGTGCTATGTGCTTTATAAATCTTAGAAAATGTACAAAGTTCTCCTTGCCTGTTCTTTCAGAACCATCAACAAAGAACACAATGTCCACTGGGCGACCTACCAGTGGTCCAAGCGTGATTGCTAAAACAAAGAAATAACACAGAAGTTAGTCATTGCAAAAGCTCAAAACTTTTCACAGCTCTCTTATATTTTTATCACGTTAACAGGGATCCAACTAAAATCAGAGATGAATTAATTTAACCACACTGGCAAATTAGCTGTTTCCCGTGTTTTTTCTATGAAACAGACACCTTTCTGACTGATGACATCTATACTTGCTGATGCTTAGGTCTCAGGTTTTTTATTTTTAACATACACATATTTTTTCATATTTTTCATATAAAATTTCCATGATTTTAAAGTTGGTTTTGCAGTGTCTGAGTTATAAGGATATATTATTATATTTTAATATGTTAAGATAGGTTTCCGAATGTTGTATGTTTTAGGGTGTGGTGATGACAATGTGCCTTTAATGTAACAACAGTAAAATAAAATATTAAAGGGACACTATATTCACCAGAACAACTACAGCTTATTGAATTTGTGAGTAGAATCATTACCATCAGGCTTTTTACTGTAAACACTGTCTTTTCAGAGAAAATGCAGTATTTACATTACAGCCTAGGGATAACTTCACCGGCCACTCCTCAGATAGCTTTTAGAAATCCTTCCTGGCTCATGGCTGCCTAAAATGCATCCAAACATTCAGTGTCTCCTCCCTCTGCATGCAGACACTGAACTTTCCTCATAGAGATTCATTGATTCAATTTATCTCTATGAGGAGATGCTGATTGGCCAGGGCTGTGTTTGAATCATGCTGGCTCCGCCCCTGATCTGCCTCCTTGTTAGTCTCAGCCAATCCTATGGGGAAGCACTGTGATTGGATCAGGCTACCACTTCTGATGATGTCAGCAGACTGCTTGTTGTTTTTTTAGGCAAACAGCATGCAGAGTTACAGTTTCTGGCTTGAATACGGTAATATTTTGCTATTTTTATGGAGGCATGAGGGGCCCAGGGGGGCTTGATGGTGGTTTTAACACTATAGGGTCATGAATACATGTTTGTGTTCCTTACCCTATAGTGATCCTTTAATGTAACATAGAATGTATCCTGTAGAACCATTTTACATAATATTCTAGGATTAATTTGGTAAAAACCCTGTAACTTTGTCTTACAGCATTAATTTGAACCATTTTTCCTGCTACATTCTATATTAATTAGGGGAATAAAATAATAAAAAGCTCAATGTATAGCACTTGGTTTGTGACTATAGTATAATAAAAGACAAGCAGATTTTTTTTATCCAGTAGCACCCACTTTATCCCATAGGTGGCAACAATGCTATGCTTGGTAAAACCACCAGTTTTTCTAGACAGTTCTGTCTAGAATACAGCGACAAAAATATCGTGCATGGTTATGTAAACTGTAAATACATCTGAAAGGACATTCAGAATATTTTCTGAAGTTAAAAAACTTTTCTAAAATGAATAGGTTTTGATTTTTTTTCTGTCCTGTTGTGATGCAAATATGTTGAAATTAATCTATATAATTATAAAACAATTATTTTGTACGCAGTTACATTGTACACTAATTAAATAGCTTTATTGAAGGGATTTATCTGAGGATACATAAGTGACATAAGTGACAAAAAATTTTACTTCTTAGTACTTCCATCTAATTAAACTCGTTGGGTTTTGAAAATAGTAGAAATAACAATAGGTAGAAAGAGTGAATATGTACTTAGCAAATTGTTGACTGCTAGAAATCTTTAACCATTACCATCTTTCTCTTCAGCTTTAAGGAAACCACACACAGTTCAATAAACTTATAAAATTCCCTGTACATCCAATTTCCAGCAAAAGCAGTGTGTGAATTGATAGAGCTGGTACTTAAAGGACCACTATAGGCACCCAGACCACTTCAGCTAAATAAAGTGGTCTGGGTGCCAGGTCCATCTAGAGAAATTGCTATGTATACACTAGGGTTAATCCAGTCTCTCGTGGCTGTCTCATTGACAGCCGCTAGAGGCACTTCCGCGCTTCTAAATGTGATTTTCACAGTGAGAAGACGCCAACGTCCATAGGAAAGCATTGAGAAATGCTTTCCTATGGACTGATTGAATGCGCGTTCGGCAGGTGACGTCGGAAGAGGGAAGAGAGTCCACAGCGCCGAGGGAGCCCGGCGCTGGAGATGGGTAAGAATTTAACCCCTTTTGTTTGTTTTCCTGGCACTATAGTGGTCCTTTAATGATCTCTGAAATCATTTGGGGAAAAGGAATTCATTGGCAATTGAAGTGCGTGCTCATACCTACAAGATTGATTAATTTTTTTATTTATAATTATTACACACAAAAAACCCCCCAAAAAACTGGAGACTTTAAGAACTACATTTTCAGGATGCTTTCCAAGCCTTTAAAAGGGGGGAGGGGGGAAAATATATATTTTTTTAAATCAACCTTTTGGGCAACCCCACAATAAAAACACACACACACACACACACACACACACATATATATATATATATATATATATATATATATATAGTGTTGGGAAAACATGAAACCTATATATTCTATTTATACACAATATATTTTTTTATATAAAGAAAACGTTACCTGCGCTCTGGCCTAAATCCCCATGTGCATTTAAACAAAAATGGAGGCTCTTTAGTTTTATTCTAATGGCCATTTGAATATATAAGCTCACCAGCCACGTCAAGGCAAGCCTCATGGCTGGTGAGCTTATATATTCAAATGGCCATTAGAATAAAACTAAAGAGCCTCCATTTTTGTTTAAATGCACATGGGGATTTAGGCCAGAGCGCAGGTAACGTTTTCTTTGTTTTTACTATGTATTTTAAGCTGTTGGATACTAAGCCACTACTGCTGTAAGCGCGGTGCTTTATCTTTGTGTTTGTATATTTTTTTATATATTATATGTAAGACAACAAATAATTGTGACACATGCTCCTACCTTGGGTACAAACTGAGTCTGGACAAGTAATGTCAGGTTCTGTAAAAAACAAAAATGTTATATTAAGCTATGTAATGTTTTATATTATATGATTGTTTTGGTTTATTTCCATTACATTAAAGTAAAACTGTCAAATCTAAGTGTTCGGTATTTGTATTTAAAAGCTCAAATGGTTTTAATTTTATCAACATAAAATATATGTAAGATTGCCTAGGTACAGCACTACATACAATGCAAATGACTGTGACCCACATGATGCCATGCATGCAAGGTCCATGGGTTCACATGTATCTGTATGCCACCATGGAAGAAATACCCTTGCAAGGGTGTTTGTAAAGAGCCTTTTGGAAGAAGATGCCTGGGCGCCCTAATGCATGTTGTGCCAATAGCCAGGGAACATTTTTGGTAAATATTTTTTATACTTAAATGCTGTGGAAGTGCATCAACAGAAAAATGCTGCACAGGCAATATGTATTCTTTTTATAGTGCTGTACGTATATATGTACCTGTGTGTACAGCTCAGTTAGCAATTGAGTTATGCAAAAATCCCAAACGCGAAAGTTCCACTTTTATTGACAGCAGAGCTTTATTGCTGTCGGCACAGGGTTTGAAATGGCTATATTGTCAAATACATGCATTGTTATTGGTCCTGAAGGGATTACAATTGGAGCATCTTGTGTGGCATTAACATACCTGGACACAGTATATCTTCCATAGTTTCAAGAAAATCTTCAGCTGCCAGTTCAGCATAAACGCTTAGATTTTTCACCCGTTCACGAACATTGCAGGCTATCTTTTCCAGCTCCTTTTTCTCAGCGATTGTGTTGAACATATCTCCAATACCTATTGCATATACGTCTACACCTTTACATAGCCATTCCAGCTTGTCTATGTCTTTAGGGTCGTATCTTCCATCTGTGATCACTATAGCCACAACTTTATTCACTACTCTTTCGTTTAGCCATATCAGCTGCTCATAGGTATACTTCAGTGCTGAAGGGGTCCATGTTCCACCGGCTAACCACTCCATAGATTTTACCCTACTTATGAAAGAAGACTTGGTGGTAATACTAGGATCATCCATTCTGATTGCTTGGACGTTACCTTGATCACTGTATTGAACCACGCCAAGTCGGGAACCTGTGCATAGAAATATTCAAAGTATTACTACGAATAGTGCAGCAGGTATGATACATAAAAAAACATTATTGGTCCTTCCCTTCAGAAAAAACTCAAAGTGACTGTCAAGTTTTGGGCTGAATGTAGCTGAACTGAAAAAAATTATACAAGTCAGCCATTGTTTCAGTTCTGCTATTTTGGCCTGAATTTAGATAATCCTTTTGAATTTGCATTGCATTCCTTAAAAATGTACCCTTTAGTGAACATAACATCATGTATCCATTCTATTCTAGGACGTACAGAAAATACAAACGTTTATAAATTAACTGCTGTTTCTGGAGAACTCTTAATGAGAAATACACAGTTAAAGGCATGAGTTCAATTAAAGCACAGCTAATTGTTAAAACCAATTCCTCAAGCAATACATCTAAATTAAAATGTGTTACTGTGTGTATGTTAAAACCTAGGAAGCTACAAATATTGGTATGCAGTGTTGGGGCTTAATTAAGTACAATAACGTGTTTGTTAAATGGTTTAAGATGGCATTAAGAACGTATAACCACGTAACATACTGGAAGTATTAAAAATATTTTAGAAGTTTATTTGCCATAAACAATTTGGAACTACTATTTGGTATAATATCTTTATTTAAGGCTAATTCAGCACTTTAGGAAGATGAAGCTGTACCAGTACTTCACTAAAATTGAAAACATACAAATACGAGAGTAGTGTTTGGGATCACAGTAGTATAATAAAACTTAAAATGGCATATAGTCAAACACCCTAAACATCTTTAAGAGTTAAAAGGTTGAATTGTAAAATCTAGGCTGAAATAGCTGATTTGTTTGGATATATATTTGGTTATATTAGCCTAGAATTTGCAATTTTGGTTTCAATTCATCATAATTTAGTGTCCAGAAAATAAACATCTAATGTAATAGACTTATAAAAGAGATATCAGCAACTGGATGAAATGTAATCATTTTTACCTGTCATATCAGATGTATTTTTTGCCATTTTCCCAATACGGTTAGCAATGTTGATGACAAAATTTTTGGCAAGGCTGAAGTTTGTCCTGCCGACACTTTCAGAGCTATCAATCACAAATACCACATCAACTGGCTGACATGACTTGTAACAATCTAAGAAGAATAAGAAGAATAGAATTGTATTATAAAATATACTTTAAAAGTTTGAAAAGTCTGATACAAAGTAAATCACTGGGTGTTTGTGGCAGTACATTTATCTTTTTCTTGACCATACATGTTAAGGTTTGCATGAGAACACAAGGAAAGAAAAACAAGGAGCAAGAGAGGTGAGAACAGACAACAGCTCAATTAGCCTGCCTTTCGGTGAGTCCCCACTCAGGTCTCAAGCTGACTTTAGCTCAACATGTGCCATTACAGATAGAACCAGAAATTTTGGGGCCCCTAACTGAGCTCAGGGTCTGGGCCTCTGGGGGCCCGCCTCCAAAACCGCCCACAAGGATCGCCTCCAAATCCCGCCCACAGGAATACAGACACAAACACATTCACTGATACAAAAGGACACAGATATACACACAAACACACACACACACACACACACACTGATACATACTAACAGACACACATACTGATACGCATATAGGCATACATACTGACACACACATACTGAGACATACACACATATACAGACACACAGGCGTACATAGTGACAGACACATACTAACATACATACAGACACACATGCATAAGGACATACAGACACATTCATAATGGCATACAGACAGACATTCATACTGGCATCCATACATTCATACAGACAGACAGACAGACATACACACATTCATAATGACATGCAGACATACATACACTGACATTCATACACACATAATGACATGCATAAAGGCATACAGACATGCATACAGACATACAGACATGCATACAGACATACATACATACATACATACAGACATACACTCATACTGGCATACATACATTCATACAGACACTGACATCCATACATACACACACATTCATAATGACATACAGACATGCATACAGACATACATACATACAGTCGTGCATACAGACATGCATACAGACATACATACCTACATACAGACATACATCCATACTGACATCCATACATACACACATTCATAATGACATGCAGACATACATACAGACATCCATACATACATACATACATACATACATAATGACATACATACATACACACAGACATAGACATACATACAGACATACATACATACAGACATACATACACATACACACACAGCTCATTTTCCAGCCACCCTCCTGTCTCTTATTCTTTGCAGGAGGGTGGCTGGGGCTGATGGGATTGGGAGTCGGCTGGCTCTCCCTATTCATTGCCCGGTCGCGCTATACCACGGCCACAGCGCTGACCGGGCCCCTGAAGATATGGGCCCCATCAGCGTGCGGGCCCCGGTGGCACTGCACCGGTGGCAGTTCTGCCGCTACATGTCGGGCCCGGGCAGCCGTGCCCCCCAGGGCCGCCGGGCCTGTGACAACCGTTATGGTTGTCCCCCCCTGATGGGGGCCCTGGATAGAACATATCTGAAGCATATCAGACTGGTCCCACCCATACGGGCAGTCCAGATCCGAAATGCCAGCAAGTTCCCTCTGCACAAGAGATATGGCAACCCCAGATGATCATTTCAACCTTATAAAGTATCATCAGTGAGGTATAGCCAATATCCCTCTAAGCACTGTGACCAAGGGGTCCATGTCTGAATTGCCCTTTAAACTTAAGGAGAGAAAAACAGGTTGCAAGAGAGGTGAGAACGGACAACGGCTCAATTAGCCTGCCCTTCGGGGGGTCCCCGCTCAGATCTCAAGCTGGTTTTAGCTCAACTTGTGCCATTACAGAGAGAACATATCTGAAGCATATCAGACTGGTCCCACCCATATGGGTAGTCCAGATCTGAAATGCCAGCAAGTTCCCTCTGAACGAGAGATATGACAACCCCAGATGATTGTTTCAACCTTGTAAGGTATCATCAGTGAAGTATAGCCAATATCCCTCTAGGCACCGTGAGCAAGGGGTCCACGTCTGGATTGCCATTTAACCTCTTAAGGACACAACTTCTGGAATAAAAGGGAATAATGATGGAATATTTCTGTCACGTGTCCTTAAGGGGTTAAACTTAAGGAGAGAAAGACAAGTAGCAAGAGAGGTGAGAACGGACAGCAGCTCAATTAGCCTGTCCTTCGGTGGGTCCCCGCTCAGATCTCAAGCTGGAACATATCTGAAGCATATCAGACTGGTCCAACCCATACAGGTAGTCCAGATTGCATGAGAACACACTTCATGATCAAAATAGGCAAGAGATCTTTGCAAAAACACATTCATTACTATTTAACAATAATTATTAAAAGTCCATACACAGGAACATCAATTGTATACATAAAAGCCAGTGGCTAGACCCCCCAAAAAGCTTAACATGTATCAAGCTCCAGAGTTAAAATTTTCCTGAAAGTGTCTAGAAAATGATATAATCAGCATCATTTTTGCTTCAATGATTGCATATCAATGATTCACATGATATATTTGTGGTCGGTTAATATCGTGACCGTGAAATACCTTGTGATTGGAATTAAGTCGGTGTGGTGTGCCGGAACCGACGTAGGGGTAGGCCTGTAAAAAGGGGGCCTCCCGAAAGAATGTATAGGTAAGAGGGTGAGGTGGGTGGGGTGAACAGCGCAAGCCTCGTCAAGGTAGGAAGGGGGGAGTAGCATTTTTATAGGAACACTAACTCCCAAACTAACAAATACAGGCCTTCGGTCTTTCACATATCAAATGTCTTCAGGAAGAAAAATTGGTTAATTTGAAAGTATATGATAAGTTATAGCTGTTTTCTATGATTAATGTTTCCATCATATGAATAAACAATCTCTCTAAGTTGTAAAATGAAAGAATTAAATGAAAAAGGCATAATTCTTGTATACATTTTGACACTTGTCGGTTGTAAGGCACATAATGGATATGCAGGGTTACTCGTTTTATCATGTTCAATGTTTTTTTAAAACTTTTAAAATGAAAATCTTTATTTTTGGTTTTGTCGTTTGAGCAAAAGTGAACATTTATCAATACGGTAGATTGAAGTAGTACAGGGTCGACATCCACTTATGTTACAGTGACAATAATGAGTGCAAATCTGTTGTATCGTTCTAACAGTGGTATATGCAGAAGTTCAAACAAACAGTGTTAAAGTTTATTGGCCTGACATGAACCATAATGAAGTAAGACTAAGTCACAGTTTATGCGTTTCATTTGTATCAGGCATTTGCAAGCAACAATAATCATGGCCATGGGGCTTGTCCAAGGTATTATATGGCAGCGTGTCTCTAGCGGGCCACGGCATGTTGTTCTCCCATTTTTCCTGTTGGTAGTCAATTGATGGTCTCCTCAAAGGAGTACTTAATCTATGTGCTGAAGTGTCGTGGGGCGTAGTGTGCAGTGCCCTTGAGGCATGGGGAGTGGCCCTGAAACGGTCATTTCTGTTAGGGCGGTGACATTTGTTGGGAAATAGGTAGTTCTGTGTTGTACCATGGGGTTGGCTGGGTCTGTCCCATTGTTCTCCAGGCATCTAGTTTGACGTTGCTGGGTTTAAAGTAATGACACGCAACCAGGAGTCTGTGAGATATGGTATTGAACAGGGGTTTATGGGTGACGCAGTATCGCGTCTTATGGGCCTCTGGGTTATCTGGGCCATGTCATGAAGCAGGTCCAGGCCACCACCAATGCGTTTCATGTGCATCCAACTTCCCCCTCACCCTCCACCACCCGTCCCACATATGTCACTCCTGTGCCCACTCCCTGGGCCCGTTTTAATAGTTACTGATAGGTATCTATGCCCAGCATGGGCAGGGGTTTGTATAGGGGGAATACCCCACTAGTTGTGAGCGCGAGGCGCTGGGGCGGGCAGGGAGAAGGGTCAGGAAAGGGGGAGAAGGGGGAGGGTTAGTGTCCCACCCCACCTGCCGAGATGAACATCGACCACGGGGTCCAGGTCTGGGTGCATTTTTCTGAGCGTCCTTGCAGTGCTGCCGTTAGTGTTTCCATGGTATAAATCTCAGCAACTGTGTCGACCCATTGCTGGAAGGTAGACCTCCCCCTCTGCTTCCATAATGTCGGAATCAGCAGGTGTTTCGGCAAAGATTTCTTATAGGTTTTTATGGGCATGTCAGTGTGGTGTAGGAACATGGGGAGGTGCTGTAGTGGCAACTCTGTGTCAGTAATTTGCCTGATCTTGGTGTTTACCATCGCCCAAAAGGGTACTATGCCTGGGCATGGCCACCAAATGTGGAGGGCAGTACATGTTGCATTTCAGCATCTCCAGTACTCAACTGGTATGCCTGTGTTGATGCGGTGTAGGACATTGGGAGTTCTATACCAGTGGGATAGTAGTTTGAAGCTAGTTTCCTGGAATTTAGAGCATTTATGAGTAAGTATGAAAATGTTGTCCCATTCCTGCTCTGTCAGTGTGGTTCCAGTTTCACTCTCCCATCTAGCTATGTATCTCGGGGCGAGTTTGTGTTCCCTATTGCCGAGCGTGGTGTATAATATAGAGATCCCCCTGCCCATGTGTTGTCTGACTGTGCATAAAGATTCAAATTGCATAAGGTCCCTGTCAGTGGCGTACACATGACCCATGGGGCCCCGGTGCGAAAATTGATCCGTGGCCCCCCCCCCGCACGCGCGGGCTGGGCCGCAACACATGGCGGTGGGCACCTGGTCGCAGGGGTTACAGGGCTGCGACCCCTGCGACCGCGGTATGTACGCCAGTGCATGCAGATGCACACACACTTAAAGGACCACTCTAGGCACCCAGACCACTTCAGCCTAATGAAATGGTCTGGGTGCCAGGTCCAGCAAGGGTTAACCCATTTTTTCATAAACATAGCAGTTTCAGAGAAACTGCTGTGTTTATGAATGGGTTAAGCCTTCCCCTATTTCCTCTAGCGGCTTTCTCATTGACAGCCGCTAGAGGCGCTTGCGTGCTTCTCACTGTGATTTTCACAGTGAGAGCACGCCAGCGTCCATAGGAAAGCATTATGAATGCTTTCCTGTGTGACCGGCTGAATGCGCGCCAAGAAGCCTTTGTCACAAGGCAAGATACAGCCAATGGGAGGAGAAGAGGAGGATCGGAGTGAGAAGCCCGCCCAGCGCTGGAAAAAGGTAAGTTTTTACCCCTTCCAGAGCCGGGCGGGAGGGGGTCCCTGAGGGTGGGGGCACCCTCAGGGCACTATA